ATATATAAATTAAAAAATAATAAACCCATAAAAAATTAAATTTATATATATAAATTAAATAATTTATGAAATTTAATATAAGTAATGTAAAGCTAATGAGTTACTTCGCCAAATCAAATTGCTAACCAAACTTATAGCGCTCGCATTAATATTTTTATATATAATTTAGATAATTTTAAAATTATTTATTAATTTATAATATTAAGTTTAAAAAAATTATAAACGATTAAAATAAATTAATAATAAATCTTACAAAAAAAAATTAAATGTTATTTTCTTTAAAATAAATATAAAATATATTAAATCAATATATATATTTATATTATTTTTTAGATGTTTATTTATAATATTTTTTTTTTTTTTAATAGATTAATATTTAAATTTAAAAATTAAAAGTTTAAAATATATAATGCTAAAAAATAAAAAAATAACTAATTTATAAATTAAATATTATATTTAAAAATAAATATATATAATGTGATAATTATAATTATAATTATATAAATCAAAATATAAAGATACAATATATATAATTTAAAAAATTTAAATTCCTTATTTTATAGCTAATAGGTTACTTTAAATAATCTAACTACTAAATTATAATGATAACAATTGAATATTATTTTTTATTTTAATAATAAAAATTTAAAATATAAAAATATAATATAAATTATATTAAAAAAAAAAAAAAAAAAATTAAAATATTAATTATATTATAATTTCATATAATTATAAAAAAAATATTTAATTTTATTAATAAAAAAAAATACATTAAAAATAAATGTATAATATAAATATTTAAAAATTTATATATGAGTATATAAGTATATAAATATATATATATATCTATATTTATTTATATATATATATATATATATATGTATTATTGAATATTTATTTTTGTAAATAATAAAATAATATATAAATTAAAAAATAATAAACCCATAAAAAATAAAATTTATTTTATATACTTTATATAATTTATGAATTTTATTATAATTAATGTAAAGCTAATGAGTTACTTCGCCATATCAAATTGCTAACCAAACTCATAGCGCTCGCATTAACAATTTTTTTAATATGAATTCAAAATATGAATAATATTATATTAATTTATTATATTAATTGTTTTTTTAAAAAAAAATAATGATAAATATATATATTAATAATAATAATTTCAAGATATATAAAAAAATATTGAATTTTTATAATATTTAATTTATGATTTAAAATTTAACAATATACATTTACATATTAATATTTATAAATTATTTATATTTAATTTTTTATTCTTTTAAATGTGAATATATTATAATTTATTTATCATTATTTTAATATTATTATTTATTTTATTAATTTATACAATAATATATACAAATACTTTAGTATTTTTTTATAATTATAATATTGATATTTTCTAAAATTATTATTTATATTTATTAATAATTTTTTTTTATATAATGAATATTTATTTTTGTTAATAATAAAATAATATATAAATTAAAAAATAATAAACCCATAAAAAATAAAATTTATTTTATATACTTTATATAATTTATAAATTTTATTATAATTAATGTAAAGCTAATGAGTTACTTCGCCATATCAAATTGCTAACCAAACTCATAGCGCTCGCATTAATAATTTTTTTATTTAATTTAGATATATTAAAATTATTTATTAATTTATTATATTATGTTCAAAAAAAATAATAATTTAAAGAAATAAACAATAAATTCTATGTATAAAAAATTAATATTTTTTTTCAATAAAAAATTTATAATATAATTTAATCTTTTTAATCATTATTTTTTTTATATACATTTATTTTAATCAAAATTTTTTATATTTTTATGTTAATATAAAATTATTATTTATTATTTTAAAATTTAAAGTTTGAAAATATATAATACAATAATAAAAATTTTAAATAATGTTTATTATTATATAAGTTATAAAATTAAAATTTAAAAAATAAATATATCTAAAATATTATATTTAAAAGAAATATATACAATATGATATATATAAGCTTAATTTACCCGAAAAAATAAAAATTTGATTATACTTTGTTAACAATTTTAAAAAATTAATAATTATTAATGTAAAAATAATGGATAACTTTGTTTATCTAATTGCTAATAAATATTCATAGAATTTTAAATTTATATATATTTTTTTTTTTTTAAATATAACTAATAAAAAATTATTAAAAAAAATAATTAAAAAATTTTAATAATTAATTTGATAAGATAATTAAAGAGAAATATAAAAAATAAATATTTTTATATAACATATAAAATAAAAGATATATATAAAAAAAATATTTATTAATATATATATATAATATTTAATTATAAATATTATTTTAAAATATATTAATTATATTTATTATAACTTTTTATTTTTTTTATTTTAAAATTTTTAATGAATTCTTTTTTTAAAAAACATTTTTTCTTTAATAAATTTCTATAGTTTTATATAATATTTATATTTATATTAATATTATATGCAATATTTTTTATATATAAAAATAAATTTAAAGTGTCATTATATATTAATTCTTTAATTTTATAAGAAATACTCCAATTATTTTTCATTCTAATCCTCAATTTTATAATCATTATGATTATTTATTAAATAACTATATTAATAAGATTTTCTATTTCTTTATATTATTTTGAAGAATATTTAATTTAATTTATTAATTGTACAAATCTAAGTATTTATTTTTTAAGATATTGATATCATTATTTAAATTTAAATAATATTCAAGAAATTAATATTTTATTATTTTATTAAATAATTGTATTATAAGATTTATTAAAATTTTTTGTTTAAATTTAAACTATTTTACTATTAAAAATTTTCTATTTAATTTTAAAGATTTTAATTTAATGATAATTACTCTTTTAATTGTTATTCTAAATTTTATATTTAAGTATGTTATTTTATTTTAAATATATTTTTAAGTCATTTAATATATTATTTTAATTATTTTCATATATATTTAAATATCCACTATATTTTTCTAATTTATTTTCTTTTAAATTCTTTTTTAAATTTAAATAAAATAAAATAAAAAATTAACATTAGTAGTATATTTTTTTTATAGTTTTATAATATATTAATTACTAAAAAAATCTTCTTCGGAGTTTTAGTTTGTTTTTTAAACAAAAAATGATTATTTTTAACTATTTTATTGAAAAATATAATCGTCTTCATTTTATTATTCTTCAATTGATTTCAAAATGTTTATTTTTTCTTAATTAATTTTTTGAGAGTTATATTAATTTTCATTTATTTTATTAAATATATTTAATAGTTCCTATTTTTTTATTTTTTTAATAAAAACTAATTTTTTTCTTGTTATATACTATTTAAAAATTTTATATAAAATTTAAAAGTTTATCATTATCTTTTATTAATTATTTATTTTTAAGTTTTAATATTTCTTATATTTAATTTTATTCAGAAAAAAAATTGTCTTTTTAAATAATAATTTTTATAATTCTAAATTATTTGTTTATAATTAATTTAATTTTAAAATGACTTCGTTATAATATTGTTCTTTGACTATATTTTCGTCAGTTTTATTATATTAATTCTAGTTTATTTCTTAAGTTATTTATAGTTCTTATTATATTTAATTATATTATTATTCTGATTCTTGCTAGTTTAGTAATTTTTATTCGTCTTTTACTTATTATATTTATTATTCGATTTATTTTTATTCTAAATAATTTATCCTTTAAAAACATTGTTAAAATATACTGTTAAAAGCGTCGATTACTTCTAATAACTTTCTTATTTTTTCATCTTGTTTATTTTAATTGTTTATATATCTTTGTAACAAAATAAAAAAGAAATATTATATTGATTTTATTTAGTTTACTGGAATTTTAGAACTTGTAATTTTTAGTTAATTATTTTTATATTTTTAAATATTTGAATTATATCGAATTATTATGAAGTTATTTCATTCTCCAATGTTTATTCATTTATTTATAGTTAATTATATTAAAATAAATTTGTTTATGAATTTAATTAATTATTTATAATGTTAAATATACTGGAATTTAATTATTTATAAATTTAAGTTGGGCATTATATATTAATATCTTGTTATAGTAAAAAATTATCTTTTATTTTAAGAAATATTTTGTTAATTTGATAACATTTTTTTATTTATTTTATTTTTTTTAAAAAAATGAGCTTATTAAAAGCATTATTATAAATTTTAATAATTTTTATTATATTGTAAATATTAATTAATTATATAAATATAAAATTATAATTATATTTATTAATTCAGTAATGTATAAATTTTTTTAGTTTTAAAAAAAATATAATTAATTTTGATTTATTATATATAAAAAAAAAAAAATTAATTCTTATTTAAATTTTATAAATAAAAGAAAAATATAAAATTTAATATTTAATATTTAATTTATATATATATTTAATATTTATTATATATATATTTAATATTTATTTTATTTTTATATTTAATTATATAGATATGATTTTAAAATTTGTTTTTTATCATAGATAATATTTAAATTACATTATATATTAAATATAATTTTTTTAAATAAAAACATTTGTTTTTAAAATGTTATATTTTTTCTAATGTCTATATATAATTTTTTAATTTTATTTTAAAATAAAATAAAATATTTTGAATTAATAAATTAAAATTTACAAAAATATTTCATTATTTATTAATTTTTTTTTCATCAATATAATTCAATGGATTGTAATTTTTTTTTGTCAATTCTAAATAACCTCTATTTTTTTAGTTCGCTTATAATTTTTAAATTTTTGTAACACTAAATTATTTTTGAACTATTTTATTGTTGGTTTAATTATTAAACTCAGTTAATAATCTATTATTAAAACTATTTTAATATTCACTGTTTTAAACTTCTTCAGTTTTTAATTTACTAATTTAACTTTTTAAATTATAAATTTTTGTTTCCGAGTTAATATTTTCATAATTCATTTATTTTTTAGTCAATAAAGGTGTGCTACTCATATTATTTTATTTATAAGAAGCATCAAAATAAAATTATTTAAAAATAAACGGAAATTCCTTCTAATATTTGTTTTATAGACAGTCTATAATTTTTTTTTTAAATTACTTTTCTCCCTTTATAAATTCTTCTTCATCAAAATTGAAACCCAGTATATTAGGCTTTAAAGGAGGTTATATTTTTTTCTATATTATACTATTAATATTAATATTTTTAAACCAATTATGATTTAAAATTTCTTTTATTCCATCAATTGTTCCTATACGACCAAAAGGGTGCTTAGATAATAATTTTTATAATAAATCTTTCAAATCGGAAGATATTTAAATATTAGAAGGAAATTCTAATTCTTCATTTAATATTCTTTAATATATTTCATTTGTATTATGACTATAATATGGAGGTAAACCTGTTACCTTAAAATATTATATAAAAATAAAGAATAAACATATATTCTTTGTTTATATTTTATTATTTATTAAAACATTTATATTTCAATAAAAAAAAAAAAAATAAGAAATTAAAAATTATAAATAAAAATAAAAATAAAAAAAAAAAATTCTACATATATATAAAATTAATAAAATCATATAAATAAATAAATTTATTTAAATATATAAAAAATAAAAATTATATATATAAATTTTATTTAATATTAATATATATATATAATTATTTATATTAATATATATATAATATAAAAATTTAATTTATTTTTATATTTTTTTACAAGTTCATATAATAAAGCACCTAAACAATAATAATCTACTGGATATGAATGTCCTACTTTCAAAAGCATTTCAGGAGCCATATATTCTGGTGATCCACAAAAACTATAAGCAAATTAATTTTTGTCCATATTAGGCTTAGATAAACCAAAATCACCTTTATATTTTTATAATTTTATAAATAAATATTTATAAAATATAAAAATATTTTAAATAAATATTTATTTTGTATTTTTTATAATGTATTATTTTTATATATAAATTATTTTTTTCCTTAAATAATTTTAATATTCTCTATATAAATATTTATTTATAATTTAATAAAAGATAAAATAGATATAAAGATATTAAATTTTTTTTATTTCAATTTATTAAATAAAATTGATAAATTAAATTAAAAAATAATAAAATAAAATAAATTGATTATAATTGTAATACATTAAAAATAAAATAAAATATATATATATTTATATATATATTTATATATATATATAAATATATATATCTATTAATTTATATATATATATTATAAATTTACCTATGCATATATGCCCTTCGATATCAAGTAATATATTTTCAGGTTTTATATCTCTATATATAATATTCCTTTAAAGATATAAAAAAAATATATTTATTTTAAATAATTTTTATTTATAATTTTATATTATCTTATATTTTTATTATAATATCCTTTTTAAAAAAAAAATAATATCCTTAAAAAACTTGTTTTTTATTTTTATAATTTTGATTTAAATTATATTTAAAAAATAATAATAATCTTTATTAAAATATGTATATTTATTTTATATATATATATATATATATATATATATATTTAAATATATTTATTTTTACTTTTAATGCAAAAACTATATTCCTTAACAAATTTCTACAAAATAAAATTTTGCCATATATTCATTCATTCTTTTAATTTTTCTTAAATGATAAAATAACTCTCCACCTGGGCAATACTCCATAATAAAGCCTAAAAAATGTTTATTTTCGAAACAAAATTCCACTTTTAATAAAAAAGGTAAACCTAGTATATTTATCATTATATTTCTTTCGTTTTAAACCACTATTTCTTTCTTATTTTCGATTATAAAACCCTTTTCAATTAATTTCAAAGCATACATTTATCCATTATCTTTTTTTTAAACTAAATATACGCGCGAAAAACCGCCTTGTCCTATGCATTTTATAATTTAAAAATCACATAAACCGATCTATTTGTTTACTTTTTGGCTGTAAAAGGGCATAATATTAATACATTTTTTATTGAATACGTTTATAGTTCTTTCCATTTAAGTAAGATAGTAAGAAACTGCATTGTTTTAGGTAGAAGAGGTAAAAATAACGATATTAGAGAGTATTTCATGCACATTTTAGGGACTTTTTAGTACATTTGTTTCATAATAAAATAGCCTTCTAATCAAATAATGTGTAAGCCATTAAACTGTACGGTCTTTGGATTCTAATTCAAAGTGAATTAGTTAATTTTTATATAATAAATTGACTTAAAGATATTATTTTTTGTCAATATTTTCATTTGGTTTAATTTTCTTTTTATAATTTTCATTTATTTCCATTTGCTTTTAATCTTCATCTGAGTTCTCATCTTTTTCTTATAAAATTTAATACAAAAGTGTATTTTTTTATATAAGTTAAGTATTTTCTTGATTTTTTTATGTGTTTTCTGGTTTTTTTTAGATTAAAATTATAAAAATAATGAATTTTCTTCATTTGACTCTGATAATTATTTATCGAAAGTTTTTTAGGAAATATATTTTTAAGCCTATTCTTAAATTTTAGTATTTTTAGGACTTATAATGGTTTTTTAACTTATTTAATGCAAAATTTTTTTTATTAATTTAAAAAATGAGGCATTAAATCATTGAGTGTATGTATTTTTTCGGATTTTTCATTAATTTTAATATATTAATTGCTTTAAGATTAATTAGAGATTTTTTAGTTATTTTTTTTTAAGAAGGGGCTTATTAGATAGTTTTTGTGGAAAAAAAATTCTATTTAATATTATTAGGATTTGGTTTAGTTTAATAAGGTATACATAAATTAGATAATTGAAAATTCTTGTTTTGACTAGTCTATTTTTTTAATTAGATGAAGTTTAATTAGTTTTCGGATAGTTATTTTTTTTTATTAAACATATTAATGTATTTTTTTAATGAAATATATAGATTTTTTTGTTTTTTGGTTTTATTTTTTTTTTTGGGGGTTTTTTTTTTTTTTTATAATATTTTTTATTTGTTTATTAATAGTTCTTTATTTGTTTTTATTAGTTTGTTTTTTGTTTATTATTATTATTTTTTTTAAAAAAAAATATAATAATTAAATTTGATTTGATTATTATATTTCTTTATTCAAATTTTAATTATATATATATATATATATATTTATATATATATATATATATATATATATATATATCTATATTTATATAATTTATATATATAAATATGTATTTATTTATATGTATTATATTATAAAAATTTGGTTTAATATTATAATATATTATAAAAAAAATATATTTTTTTTT